TAACCGCGCCCATGATCACCGCACGTGCCAGCCTGTTCTCCTGAACCACTCTCGATCGCATGACTTTGATCCCGACATCGACGAGCGGTTCGAGGGAGAGGGTTTGGAGGATCGCGAGGGATCGGACGAGGGATTTCGTCGAGATCGATGAAAAGATCCGCTCGGTGTCGTTGAAGTCGATAAGCTGGGGCTGGATCGGAGTCGGGTCAGGGCTCGGGACGTCGGTGAGTTTGTGGGTTAGGGTTATGGGGTTCGAAGTTAGGGTTGAGAGGGATCGGGTCAGGGCTAGGGTTTTGTTGGCAAAGAGTCTGGAGGCGATGGCCATGAAATGTAAAGATCTCTCTCTTGCTTTTGTTTCTCTGATGGAGTTTTGGGGGAGGGGGTTGGGTGTTTTTTTATAGAGGACGCGTTGGTGTAGGATAAGTATAGGTTGCGGTTGAGGAAAAAGGGAAACAGGATGCTGACTCAGGATCGAGTCGGAGTCGGGGTAGAAAGGTAGTTATTACCGAAATACGGGGGTTTGAATGAGAGGAGACAGCTAAGGTTGTGCTGGGGTGGGGGATCAAGTTGAGGGGCAAAATCGTAAATATAGGTTGGCGAAATTGACGTGCCGATTTTTTTGGAGCGTCCGAATCTTAGAAGGGGGTTGCTATTTGTTATTAAATTACTGTTGGTGTTATTATTTTATGTCTCAAAGATTCACTTATGGGAAAGAGTTGAGGAGGGAATCATGGCCGAGCCATGTGCTTTTAAATTATGAGGCTGTACATGCACGGAAGTGGGGTGGGCATTTTATCTCACTTGCAGAATTGCGGGGTTGCTTCTTTTAGAAAAATATCAAAACAAGTTATAAGCATGCAAATAAATTCGAAATAAAAGAACAAAAAAAACCTAGTCTGTTTGGGAGCAATCGTGCAAGTACTATTTTAAAAAATTGAGGACCCGCTTATCACCCTGACGCAGATGATTCCCTCTCATCTAGCTGTAAAAACCCCTGGAATCGGTCGACCTCTGTACTCGGACGAGAGTAAATAACTTCTGCTCGGATGAATAATATTGTACAAAATAAAAGTTAAACTGTAACTGAGAATTTTTTGAGAGGAATAATTTTTACCGAATGCAGAAAAGAGAAGTGAGTTGGAGAGATCTTTTCCATTTCCTTTCTGTGTCTTCTGAGTAGAGTCTTCGGCTGTATATATAGGGTTTTAGAGAGTCGTTACAAACCCCGAACGTTACCCAAAAATCGCGCAGCCGTTACGCACGTTTTCCATATGTAAAACGTGTAAAAGGAAGTTGAAAAATTCAAAATGTGGCGTGCATGCGTGGTGTAGCGTGGCAAGGAGCGGTGTGGCGCGCATGTGATATATAAAGCCCAAACAAATAAAAGCCCAGAACACCCCTTTTTTGGAATCATCAAAGCCCAAAGGAAAGAGAGCTAATTTAAACAACCAACTATTCATCACACTAGGTAATGTGAGACTATTCATTGAAGAAAAAATTGTCTTTTCTCCCACAACATAGCCAACAATCCCCCCCCCCCCCCCCCCCCCCCCCCCAAAAAAAAGGCAATATTTGACTGAAATCTTCAAAAATAAATAAATCAATAAATTATAAAACAAATATAAGTTGGATAACCTTTCATATCATGAATTCAGGAGAGATGGCTTTTGGCTTTGAACGTTTCCTTAGTGGGTTCATCGCAACCTGAGGGGCATAATTAACTATGCATTGAATTAGACCCTTTTTACCAGGTATTAATGAAAAACACACAATATGTTTTCATCTATTGAGCAAAGTGAGTTGAGCGTTAAAGGCCATACTCACAATAACCGGCTCATAAGAGTTTCCAGGGGTTAGCCTAGCGCCCTCCCTCCAACCACGGTCATCATCGTTCCTCTCACGTAGGTAAGTCCTCCAAGGATACTATAGCTGGATATCATACCCTCCACAATACATGCGTTAAACTTATTAAGAGTAAAACTCAACCTAACCAGCTATATCATAAGAGTCACCATAGAGAAGGGGTAGTAGCTGATGCTACCATAATGTTATATGAATATATCTAGGTCGATGCTCCACACAAGTGTCACTAGTCCAGTTTGTTTCTGCCACATTGAACCTACATTAGGATTGTGTCTCCAAATAAATGTTGGGTTCTCGCTGTCAGTAACCTTATTTATGGGATTAACCCCATCTCACTCGATGAATCCAAAACCACACTTCTGGATAGACCCTTAGTCAACGGGTCAGCTATATTCTTTTTAGACTTTACAAAGTCTAGAATCATAACTTTGCCTAGCAGACGTTGTACATATTTATATCTTATTTGAATATGTCTGTTAAGTTTTTATTAACATGCACTTGCTTTAGAAGCTCTATGGTGGATTTAGAATCAGAATAAAAAGAAATTGGAGGAGAGGGTTTAAGGACTAAAGGTAGTTCAGAGAGTAAATCTTTTAACCATTCTGCTTCTGTGCAAGTGGTATCAAGATCAATCAATTCAGACTCTATAGTGTTCTTGGCAATTACTGTTTGCTTACAGAATTTTTAGGATATAGCTGCACCACCAAAAGGGAATACATATCTAGATGTAGACTTTACACTATTGGAATCTATAACCCAGTTGGCATCAATATACCCTTCTATTATATCAGGGTGCACAGTGTAAGTCAAGCAATAGTTAATTGTGCATTTCAAGTATTTAAATACTCTCTAAGGCAATCTAGTGATCTTTGCTAGGGTTGCTGATATACTGGCTTAGTCTTCATACGACATAAGCTATATTAGGTCTAGTCTGGTTGGATATGTATAAGAGAGATCTGATCAGCTGAGAATACTTTAGCTGGGAGACATATTCACCTTTATTCTTCTTTAAGGATATAGAAGAGTCATAAGGTGTAGAGATAGATTTAGAGTTATGAAAATTGAATTTGATCAGCATTTTCTCAATACTATGAGAAAGACTGAAGGATATCCCTCTAGTGTCTCTATGATTTTTATTCCAAGTATTATATCAGCAAGACCTAAGTCTTTCATGTCAAAGTTCTTAGAGAGCTAATCCTTAACCTTTAAGATTTTTTCAAGAGTTGTTCCAAAGATAAAGATATCAACAACATAGAGACAGATGATGACATAATCATTGTTTATCACTTTAGAATAGACACACTTATTATGTTCATTCACAGTGAAGTCATATTAAGCAATGACTCTGTCAAATTTCTGGTGCCATTGTTTAGAAGCTTGTTTTAGATCATCCAGAGATTTAACAAGTTTACAGAATTTATTTTCCTGACCTTTAGCAATGAATCCTTCAGATTGGTTCATATAGATTTCTTAATCTAAATCATAATTCAGAAAAACAGTCTTGATATCTATCTAATGTATGGTCACTTATGAATAGCAGCAAAGACTAATAATTCTCGGATAGTTAAGATTCGGACTACAGGAGAATATGTATTAAAGTAATCAATACTCTTTTGCTGAGTATAGCCTTTTGCTACTAATCTAGCTTTATATTTATTAATGGAACTTTCAGCTAAGTTTTTTCTTGAATATCCACTTACAACCAATAGGTTTATAACCTGGAGGTAAGTCAGTATCCAAGTATGATTTTTTTATTATTAATTTTATTTTATTATCAATGACTTCTTTCTAGAAAGAAGATTCAAGAGAATCCATTAAAGGAGCTTGGATCACCTTCAACAAGAAAGGTAAAAAAGTCTTCTCCAAAATTCTTTTGAATCTTACATCTTTTACTACTTCAAGGTTCAATATCTAAAGGTTAAGAAGAACTAGAAGTTGGTATATCAGAAGGAAGAGATGATCTAGGATTTTCTGAGATTTTGGTTTTGAAAGGAAAGATATTTTCAAAGTAGACTACATCTCTTGCTTTAATGATAGTATTGTCGGATATGTCACTGATATCAGAGTTAATGACTAGAAATCTGTTAACATTGCTATCT